AAACTTATTGTGCTTATGGTTTTCAAACCATAAGCACATTATGAATGAAACTGGAATTATGGCAAGTCCAAATAAATGCAAACAGTTAGTTACATTTCAGTGTTAGACAAAAATAATCCTAAAAATGGGGGGAAAATATTCAACCTTACTTTTTGAGTTGACATAAGGATTTGAAAAGAAATTTCAGTGTTAGACAAAAATAATCCTAAAAATGGGGGGAAAATATTCAACCTTACTTTTTGAGTTGACATAAGGATTTGAAAAGAAATTTCAGGATTTTCGAAAGAATGATCAATATATTTGTACTTTTGTGACTCCATTCACAGCTTACCTAGAATGTGCTGCTAGCCAGTTTTCAAATAGAATGCATAAAGGTGCAATCTGACAATCAATTTAAGGAACAATTTTATCATGTATCATAGTTGGGCTTAAATGTAAATCATCACTAGAAAAAAATATACCTTGCTACACAGTCATGTGTTATTCATGTCATCATTATTTTGTAGCTCATACATTACTAAACAACTGTTTTCAATATTAGAGCTCACTAGCTGTAAAATTAGAACCAGGATATTGTATGAACACCTTAAGAATTCTCTAAAGCCCCGTTCACAAGAGTAGATTCGACCGGTAGCGAAAACCGGTTCTTCCAACGTCTCCCGTTCACATGGGACAAGCATTAACTGCCTCGCCGAATTGGAGGTAGAACTTGGTTGAATGTTCCTTACCTCTCGGGAGCAGGGCAAATGGGGAGATTTCCCGTACTATACTGCGCGGTTCACTTAATTTTAGTTACTGTGCTCGCTGGACTGTCCGCGAAATAATCACGCTGATAGATGTCTGGGGATGTGATAGCATCCCCCCAAAAATTAGACAGAACTGTACAAGATACGGAAATTATAGACAAATACAGACACGGTTATCTGATGCTAGGTATTCCAGAAATATCGTTCAAACTAAAACTAAAGTGCATATCGGCTTCAGCGCGACAAGGGACTCGGTACCTATTGAATGATTTTAAAAAAAAATTTAAGCATTTTCATCTACTTTTTATTAAATGGTTTTGTGAGACAAAATAATTTTAAGCTGAAAAAGTTTTTGCTAGTATTTTTTTTAATTAAAATTTTTGAAGAAAAATTTTACAATTAAAATGTCTTTCTTCTACAATTTTCAGTGTTTCCCCCCCAGTTTTTTATTGTATTTATTAGAGTGTTTTTTAATAACTTCAATAAATGATTTTGCAATTAATGAATTAGTTTCTGAGGAAAAAAAATACACTTTTATCTAAAATCTTTAAAACAGATATGATCTCAGTCACATTTTCATTTCAAATAATTTTTTCCTTTCAGTATTTTGCAAAAAACCCATCCTTGTTTCTATTAAAGTATATAATTTTAAATAAGCTTTCAGTTTGCATTTGCAGTTTAAAGAATACAAACTCTCTAAATAGACATTTAATCATTTCAAATCTTTAAAAAAAAATTTATTACTGAATTTCAATACACAACATATGTATATAAATCAAACCTAGTGCTATTTATTCAATTGGTTGGTAAATATAAACATAAATTACAAACCTTTTTTTAAAAACTTTATGTGGCCAGAAAAATTGCAAAAAAAAACTCATAAAACGCAAGCAGAATTTTCTTTACCTGTTTCTGTTTTGTAAAACACTTTCAAAACAATTTTAAATACATTAATTAATTATAATATTGTTGTGTAATAGATTGATAATAGTTCGTAAATGATTGTCATTACACTCAAATCCGATGATAGCTTAATTAAATTTATTTTATCAACATAAACACTTCAAAATTCTGGAATATTTCACAGAAATAATCGTACAAGTGTTTAGAATATCACTAAGTATATATAATCAGTAGTTATGTTTCAATCTAATAAGAACGTTAAACACAATGGAATGCAAAACGCATCTTAAGAGAAAGTTAACTCAGAAACATCTACAATCTCACGCTGAACTAACAACTGGTAACAATAACAACTTATATAGCATAAATAATGTCATAAAAATAGTGTGGGTATAATGAGATTATTACTTTGAAACCGATGTTTCGAATTGATGCCCAAGAAGAACCAATATATTTCCCATTCTGCTTCATTGCATATCTTTTCAAAAAAGTAAAAAAAAATCATCCAATTAATTTCCTTTATCATTTTTTTTTTTAAATGCGAAAAGTTTGTTTTTATAAGCTGTGAAAATGTTGGAAGTTTGTAATCAATATATTTTTAGATATGAAATTTTAAAATTAATGGGTTGTCAAATGTCTAAAATATGAATTCAAAAATTCTCCCAAAATATTAAAAAAAAAATTATGCTAAAAATTTCTTTTAATTTTTTTTCTTCCACAGTGTGTTATGGTGCAAACTATAATATTCTGAGATTCTCAGTTTATTTGTTAATATTTGCAAAAAGTTGTGTCAACTTTAAATTTGAAAAAAATCTAATCCTCTAAAAATCAAAAGCGTGACACCACATCCACAAAGCAGTGTATGTACAAAAGTTTTGAGTTCTATATCTTATCGGGAAGCAGTTTAAAAATCCATGACCATCTTTTAAACCATAGCGACAAGCACCAAGAGTGAACTAAATAACAGCTTATAAAATAATAATAATAATAATTAAAAAAGCAAATATTTTCAGGAACCATTACGAAAGTTCACGTACTAGTTGCGAAAGTACAGATTACAAAATTAACAACAGTAAACCACGTTAAAAATGTGTAAACAGTATTAGAAATCTGCCAATTCGGAGACGTGATTATTCACAGAGGCTTAGGTGTAATGGGGAAGGAAGACGGTGGTCTTCTGAATGGGTCCTAAAGACGAAACTCTTTTATGTCTTCTTTTTCTCCCCTTGCTAACGGCAGCTGTGTGAAGGAGCGTTGCATGTGAACGGGGCTTAAGAATTGCAGCCTCTACAATAGAAAAATATCGCTCCATTAGTTTCTCAAATTCAGGGACAGATAGCACATTAATTTTAGAATGTCTTGTTAATTTTATAATTATAAATAGAATTTAAATAAAATATATAATGAAATATGTATATAAAGTCAAATACTTTGTCAAAATAATTCTGTGGTACTGTCATTATATTAAAAATTTTTTAAAAAGTTTAAATAACTTGAGGGTTTGGGCAAAAGTCATGGCAACTATTTTTTTCTTGTAGATATGTGAGTGGATCACAAAACGCATATGTGTCGTGTGGAATTTCTGCAGGCATAGTGTGTATGCAGAACAGATGGCTCTGTGGTAGCAAGGGCTCTGAAATCAGTCAGTTGGTGAGTTTTGTGCGAGATGGAAGTAACCTCTGTTGAGCAGCGCGCTTACATCAAAATAGCCATTCTACGAGGGAGAAATGCAATGAAATGTCACAGGAATAATGTCCTACCATATCATACAGTAGCACGGTGGGCTAGGAAAGTTTCAGCAAGGATGTGTGTCAACCAGTGATGAGCAACGTTTGGGACGACCGGTTAGTGTGTGGACCGACTTGGCATGTGCCGTCATCAAGCACCTCATGGGTGAAGACAGATGATGGACATTACTGGAGAGGGCAAGTGGCATCGAGAAACACACCGTCCACAGGATATTACATAATGAGCTACAGCTACGCAAAATCGCTTCGCGGTGGGTACCGCATGCACTGACGGAAGTTCATAGGTGGGTGCGCTATGCAATATGCTCCGACCACTTTGCATGCTGGCAGCAGGATGACGATCAATTCTTGTCATGAATAATCTTGGGAATGAGATCGATCTCATTCCCAAGATTAAGGAACTAATACGTGGCAGGCGGTTTGGAACACAAGAGGACATTGCTAATGCTGTGCGCCAACAGATGACCCGATTCACACATGGTGCGGCAAATGCTGAGGCTGATGGTATTCAGCACCTCCCACATCGTTTTCAGCGTGAGGTGACACTAGTAGGGGACTACATTGAGGGTCTTTAGGCCCATGTTTGTCATGTCAAATTTACATGTATTGTGTTATCATTCTTTTGCACGATGAAGGCCATATTGCTCTGTATACTACCATAATAAATTTGTGTGTTACGATATTTCAGTGCTATTCATTGTCCACACATGTAGTTAAGACCTTGTTCTTTCGTCTGTATGTGTCACATTATCAACCGGACTGGTATCTTCAAGAAAAAAAATAGTTGCCATGACTTTTTCGCAAACCTACGTATTTTTTTTTTTTTTTTCTTCATCAGCCATCTTCAGTGTTAGGCAGTGGCAGCTTGCTATATGAATCAAGAGAAACACTGATTCGTGTAAAAATTTTCTATACTGAGCATATTTGAACCGATTCTGGCCTAGAGGTTAAATTCAAAAATTTCTTTCAGCTATCAGATCTGAGAAAGCCTGAAAATTTTCAATAAAACATGTGCAGTTATGTGATTCACTTATTTTGGAGGTCACGAACTGCCATTGGTATTAGAAATAATTTGTATGGCACAGAATATCTCATTTTCTTCCAGTGTGCTCGGTGAAGCTAAAAGGTTGGACACCTCTGGGATATATATTTAGGATAGCTATTTTGATGTTGCTTCAGTGATGCAAAATTAAGCTATTTATTAGAAATTGCTCTTTTTTTCTCTTGTTTGATAACATTTTATTTTTCTAATGAGCATACATATATTTATTAAAAAGAGCTATAAATAGTTCCAGTTTCTTTTGATATGGAATTAGAAATAATTATAATTCGGTGTTGAAATTGATTTTTTAGTGTTGTGACTGTAATAAAAAAGGAAAATTTTATACAAATGTATTTTAATGCAAGGTTTAAAAGAATTATGTAAATTAGTATTATATGTTAAAGACATAGTATTTTGAATGAATACAAAAATTAGTTTATAAGTCTGAAAATTTTTAACTACTGTATATTCAGAAAGCAATAAATAATTAAAAAATAAATTTATTTTTGCTTCTATGTATAATGCATATATAAAAACTGTAAAAACGTTGTTTAATTTTAGAGAGAAAGTAAGCCACCCTTTCGTAAAAGAAGTGATCCTAACATTCCACGTTCAAAAAGGTTTGTTATTTTTAATCCAATTTTTATGTTTTTACTATTTCTAATTCTATTTTAAAGTTAAAATTAGAGACAATAATATAATATATATAATTGTACTGTTATATGTAATTCTGTTCTTTAGTGATGTGGATGTGGATGAGAAAAACAGTTCTCCTTTAAATGAATCAAGGAGTTCTTCAAATTCAAGTTTGTCTAACAGGTGCATTTCTTTCTAGATTATTTGAAATATGTTTTATTGTAAATTTTATATCAAACAAAAATAATTATTTTAATTTTTGTGTCTAGAAGTTTGGACAGTCCAAGTAATTCCTCAGAAATGGTACATAGGACTCCCACTTCAGTTTCCGCTGATTCTGTTCCTGCTAATTTTGCTCCATCAAGCGGAATTACTTCTTCAAGTGGGCATAGCACAGGTACTATGCATACTTATGATGATTCAGACCTTGAAGCTGAAGCAGATCCTCCAAATTGGCAAGAAAATGTGGACTGGGATGTCTTGAAGGTTATGAAGCCCAAAGAGAAGAAAAGGCAGGATGTTATAAATGGTAACTTTGTTGCTCTTAAACTTTTCAATTATTACTGATTTACACTGAATAAGTGAATAGCTTTCTGCAGAAAGTTGCAAATGATACTTTAAGCAAAACATATATTTTTTGGCAATTTTTTATTTTTTTTTTATTTTCATGTTTATTACCTAAATTTAATCTGCAACAGAGGAAATGTCATGTCATGAAGAAAAGTGTAGATGCAATTCATTTTTTATATCATACAAATGATAGTATTTTTAATATATTATTTAAGAAACACAATCTGATGCCTAGTTGTAGTTCAGATTGAATAAGAGTGGACTTGGAGAGGAAATGTGCATTCCCATCTTAGTGGGTCTCAAGTAAGGAGATGGGATGTCAGAGTTCACTAATCATTGTATATGGTACTATACTATATCTGATTATAGTCTGCAACTGGAGATGTTTTGCAAAGTGTGCATGATGTTTCTATTACTCCAGTACTGATGCAAGTAATTTCATGAAGATCGGCTAATGTAGATTCTGCATCCAGCCATCCCTTACGAATACTTTTGTTAACAGCAAGCCATCATCGTTACCATTACAGTGGTATTCTCTAGATAGTGAATTGGGACAATATAATTATCAACTATGAATTTGACTTACGAATGGTGATTGGCATGGGATCTATGAATGGTTTTGCTTTTTTCCGTATGTTTTTTTATTACCCCTGAATGGATTCTGTATTATAATAAGGGATTCTAGAACTTAGGATTTCCCAAGCGATCAAGAAGTAGGTGTCCTGTTTCTTCAAGAAAGATACATCATTCATAAAGAAAGGTTGTGCTTGAATTACCTACTCAAATTAAAAATGCGACTTGATGCGAAAGTGACTATGCAGTCTTCGTTCATGCCAGGTCCCCAAACACAAGCATGGTTTGTTGGATCATGCATTCCTGTCATTACTGCAGTATAATTCATTTACTTACTATGGCATTAAAAGTTAACTTTAATGACTTTTGCAAACCAGACCTTACTTATACTGAATCATAACACAATGGCTTATTGGAATAATGACATGAGAAAGAGATTAACTGTTTCCTTGTTATCTCATCATAACATTCAGATTGATGGATGTAATAAAATTAGTGGAAAATGGTGAAAACTTATTCACAAAAAGGGTGGGAAATACTGTTTGGTCTTATTGGCAAGCAGCAATTATTACTAATTTTGGTGGTGTTTGCCTTCAAATGATATTAGCAAAATCATAATCAAAACCAATTAAAAGTTTTCACATTGCATTCTCTTATGATAATAATTTGCATTATGAGCTTTGAATTTGAGATTTTTCTGCAGTTCATATGCGTTCAGGCTCATAAAGTATATGCATGCACCCCATAAATTTAAAATAAAACTCAAACTTAGGAATAAAGAATTGTGAAATCATTCATAGGTATTATTATAAAAAATGATGACAATTTTTAATCTGCCATCAAATAAAAATGAAGTTGTTGCATTCTTCCAAGATTTTACTGTTCAACTGAATTTGTGAAACAGGGTTGAAATGAAGTTATATATCGTCATAGAAACCGTATGAAGATGTAATATGAAAAATTGCATGGAAAAGAAAGGTCTTTGCATTGGAGTCAGCAGTTGTACAGCACTAACCGATTCCTGTGGTATCAACAGATTTATATGGCTCACCAACATTTTGAATCATCTGTACTCTGCCATATTAGTTACTATGGCCAGTTTATATTCACCCTAAAAAAATTGCATTTTTTTAATAGAAATTTATATTTTTGGAAATGAATGAAAGATCATGTTTGTGTTAAAATTTCATTATTTAAAAGCTTTTTTTTTTTTTTGGAGGGGCTAGGGTATAAACCTCGTGCCATTTGACAAGTAGCAGAAAAAGTAATAGTAATAAATAATATTGGCTGTGTTCTCTGCTGTGAAGGATATTAGAAAGTCATGAAATTAGAGAATGTTCCTTGTTGCTGTTCCCAGTTATTCCATTTCATGTAAGGTTGCACCAGAGCATAGGAAAAGAAATAAGCCCTAAGTACGAGGTATGATGCATACACAGAGGAGGAGAGGGGAGGGGGGAACGAGACTGTGTAGCTTAAAAAAGAGTGGAGTTTGGCAGCAACTGTTTGGAATTGTAATGATTGAGTGGGTTCATAGTGGTCAGACTGTTAGTCACCGCTACTACACTGAAGTACTAAAAAGTCTCCATGGAAAAAATTAGGAAAGAAAGGCCACAGTTGTGGAGTATTGGCACCAGGACAATGCACCTGCTCACATGGACCTATATGTCAAGAAATTTCTGACCAGTAAAAACATAACTGATGGGGTGTCCTCCTTATTCACCTGATTTGGCTCCATGAGACTTTTATTTCTTAAAGTTAAATCATGCTTAAAGAGAATCCATTTTACCTCAATTGCAGAGGTTCAAGCAAAAACGAGGAATTTCTTGAAGGACCTTCCAAAAACCTTGTTCTAGAACTGTTACCAGCATGCAGAAGTGTGTAAATGAAGAGGACTACTTTGAAGGTGATAATGTCACGGATAACTAACTGATTCTTTAAGTACAATGATTTATTGGACTAGTCTCTCTCTCTTTTTTTTTTTTTTTTTTGTATGTGTGTGTGTGTGTGTATTGCACATCATATGTGGTATTGCTTTAATAGAAAAACAAATGAAATTTCATTGTTTGTTTCTCTCTTTCTCTTTTTTTTTTTTTTTTTTTTTTTTTTGTGTGTGTGTGTGTGTGTGTTAGTATTTTCATGTTTTACTTTTTTATTACTTTTCCAATTTGAGAATACTCATACTGCAAACTAAAATATGTTGTTTTTGTCTTTCTTAGAATTGTTTCATACTGAAAGAACTCATGTTAGGAATTTGAAGGTTTTGGATAGACTGTTTTATAAACCAATGCTTCAAGAACAGCTCCTTCCTCCAGATTTTCTTAATCTTCTTTTCCCAAACCTTGAAGAGATGTTGGAAATACATGTTACATTTAATAATAAAATGAAAGCTCGACGAAAAATGGAACCAGTTATTGGAGATATTGGCCAGTTAATGTTAGAAATGGTAAGAAATTTTTTAAAAAAAAATTTATTACTGAAGCTGTTATTTAGAAATCCCTTGTTTCTTCCATATATGTAGTTCATCTGGGTAATTACACATAATGATTTAAGAATGAGATATGATCCATCTTTGAAAATTAGAATTTGTAGTTTAAAGCTTAAAAAATAGAGGAGACTTTACTGATTGAAAAAATATGTAATTTATATAAAGTTTTTGCCTTAATAACAGAGATTATTGCATTTAAAAATGTAAATGAATGCCAGTTGTGCATTTAATCGGCAGTAATACCAGTCTTCAGAGCCCTGACTTATAGGCAACTAGCTGAAGTATCCAGCATTGCTTAGGCTTTTCTTTATGTTGGTTTAAGGTGAATTATACTACATTTTACAAAGTTTGATTAAAAGTGTAGATGTTATTTAGATAGAAAACAAAGTTTTTTTTTCTGCCATATTGTATTGTCAAGCTTGAGGGTACACTGTGTTTTCATTTATCTATCCGGAGCATAAACAAATAAACAGTGGGCATGTCTACTCTTAAGCAAGCCATCTATAATTGACCTTGTGAAAAGTATGATGTTTCCAAGTCACATGGTGCTTCCAGGTTAATGCCTCTAATGTGAAGTGTCTGCCCCTTGCTTTGTTGATAATCATGGGAAACAGCAATAATTTCGGCATAACCTATGGTAGTGGTAGCCTCTTTTACATTCAGAAGCAGATTTTTCTGAGGCTAGTTCCATTGCACAGCTTCGGTGAGTCAGTGGTGCATAATAACTGATAGGGAATACTTTATTGAAAGTGAGCTTGTGTAGCGGTATTCCTAGTGACTCGGTAGCATTTAAGGTATCCGACTACGTTCGATACCCTAATTTTGAAAAAGTGTACAAATAAACTCATTTTTGGTGTTAATTAGCAGAATGCTACCTAAAATGAAAAAACAATTTATAAACATATTATTAAAATGTAATTTTTACTTTTTTCTCACATTTTGGATAAAAAAAATGCATTCAAATTACTTATTAAAGCATAAGGAATAAAATGGACTAAAATTGAAGTCATAAAGCAAAATGTCTATTAAATGTATCTGTTTGAGTACACACAGTAGCTATCTTTCGAGAAATTTTTCTCTCTTCATTTACAAAATTGTCTGCAAAAATCTTAAATATGTATATAAACCTAAACTTTTAGTCCGTTTAATTCCCAATATTCTATAGAATATTTGTGGGAAGTATCATAAAAATTGCTATAGTAATATTTTAGGTTACAGTGTTTTTCGTATTAGAATGTTGACAAAAACAAGTTTTTCAAAAAACAAATTTAAAGTTTTATCTTTAGAAAATATATTAGAAATTGATATTTTATATTGCTTTGCTAAAACTGCCCTGTTTTGTATATTACACCTTCTGTTAACTCTTATTTTAGAAGATTTTTTCTTTAAAGGAGCTCTTAATTTTTTTCTTGTGATTTTTGTGGAATGTAAAGAATGCCGTTTTGAATTGACAATCCCAAGTTTTATCAATACAGTTATATCCCTTGACAGCATATATTGTCCATGTTTCATATTAAGTTTTGCTAATATTTTTAACATACCCAAAAATCCATTGTTAAACTATATTACTCCTATATAGGAACCAAGTCACAATGTTGCCAACTCAAGAAACACTTGTTTTGGTATGATACGTTATTAAAACTCTCATTTTCATTTGTTTTGAGTTTCGAAACACACTGGACAGGATAATGCAGAAAATAGATTTTAGAATTTCAACATCGAATATTCTATTACCAGCAGAATTATTAGCTTCATTATAATTTTCAGAAAATGTTTTATTGTTTCCTAGTTTCAATTCACTCTCAGAATTTTTCACAGTATATCTGTTTCCAGCAAATCGTCGTTTTTTAGAAAGAAAAGTTCCACGCCGACCCATTATGACGTTTACAATAATAAAGTGAAAATATTTTTGTCACAATGTTAAAATAACAAAGCAGAATGAGATAAAAAAATAATACTGAATAACTGCAAGCACGCGAAATCAAAGTGTAATCAAATCAAAATGTAAAGACAAATGGAAAGTTTGCCAAATATGATACTGAAATTTCGAAAGTAATCTTGCTTCCAAGCACATAATAATAATACGTATATTTCAAAATCATCTTTTGAATATTGCCAACAGTATTCAAATAAAATATTCTTACTTAGAGTTGTCTGTGTTCCTTAAATATCAACTTCCGGCTATTTAAACAGCAACTTCCAGCTTTTTAAACAGCAACTTTCGGTTCATGGTGTAGAACAACAAAAGCAATAACTCTACTTCTAATCACCAGAGAGACAAAACAAAAATAGTTTTTAGAAGCTAAAATTATAAGCTTTAAATTAAAGTAATAAAATTTTTTTGAAAAATTTCTTCAAAATTGACATTCAGAACGTAGTTGGATACTTTAAAAATCTATCGGGCAATGCACTGCTTTCTCTGTATCCATTACTGAATCAATGGAAGAAAAATAGATACAACATGCACCTAAATTCTGCTTTGAAATTCTTCACTGTTCTAAAAAGAAAACAAACATAAGTGCCATCTACCGATTTTAGCAAGAACTGTTAGCAGGGATGCACCAATGGTGTTGTGAACCTAAGATGTAAAGGATTGCAAAATTGAAAAACTGTACACAAATATGAATATTTATTTTTTGTAAAAGAAAACAATTATGAATTCCTTGTGTAGCATATGTGACTTTCACTGATAGCGGGAATGCAACAGTGGGGTCATTAACATAAGACTGGAGATGTGTATGCATGATGGATTTTATGAGAGCACCTTTCTGATATAAATGCTCTGAGTGTGGGCTACACTTTTTTTTTTTTTTTTTTTAAGTAAAAAAGGGCTTTACCCTGAGGAACTATTGTTTTCATTTCGCGTTGAATCACTCTGAATGCTCGTTTCGCTTTTCAAACTGTTGCCACCAAATACTTATCGCCCTGTATTATATTTGAAGGAATTAAATGATGAAGAATCTGCATAAATGTATGTATATTTCTCGCATTGTGATAAAGCAATGGTACCTAGAGCCATCAAATTTTGATTGACATAATCCTACTGCGAATATGGGCATCTGGAACCCCGAGTTTGAAATTTGGAATTTGTTTTATTATCCATTCCAAATTTTGTAAAACTTTAATGAATATTTGATTAACAGACTCAAGGATTTCAAAGTAAGCAATGACAACGTTGTATAGAAAACACATTTTTATCTCCAGCACGTGAGAATATGTATCGAAAATTTTAAAGATATGCCCAATTCAAAATTATTTTACAATATTGCTCTTGAACAGAATTTTATGGTTTAAGTGCAAAGAACATGATATTTAACACACAAAATGTTAAATTTAACACACACACACACACACACACACACAAAAAAAAAAAAAAACTTTGGATGCAATTTAAAATATGAAACCTTTCAGATTTTTCTTTTTTATTCATAAATTATATCTTTATATATCTAATGAAAATAAAAAGAACTGCCTTAAAAAATTACACCTTTGAATGCAGGAGAATTATTATTATTATTTTTTAATTATTACCTGTGAAGAAAAACTAGCTTATAGAGAATATAAAAGCAGACATACTTAAGAAGAATATATAGAATTTGCCATTAGTTAAATAGAAACAACTAGAAGTTTCTGTGATTTTTTTAAAATAGTTTTCAAATTAATAAATTAAAAAAAAGAGTTTTAATTTATTCTTTTAAATTATTAATTACCTGAAAAATTTTAAATTAAATAAACAAATATAATAAAGTAATAAAGATAATTAAAAAAATGATAAAAAAATGCTAGGTTATGTATTAACAGCTTCAATAATAATAATGAAACCTATAATTGCATTGCTCTCTGAGTGCATCTGGCTTTTCTCATTTGTATTGCTTGCAAATTATTTAAACTAGATCACTTTGTGTATTCAATTGAATAACGTCATCTGTGTGTTTCATTATTGAAATTACTTTATTTTGCAATTTTTAAATGTTTTTTAGTTTGATGGGGCTGCTGGGGAACATTTAAAGCAAGCAGCTGCAAGGTATTGTCAGAATCAGTCCATTGCCTTGGAGAGTCTTAAAATGAGGCAGAAAAAAGACCAGAAACTTTCACAAAGTTTATCAGTAAGTTTTTAATTAATATACCATGTAAATTACTTTAAAATATGAAATAAAAATTATTATTGTTTAAAAGTAGCATGAAAAATAAAAAAAAATCATTCTGTATTCATAATTTACTCTCTATAAAATTGAAAGGAAATTACAAAATCAAATTAGCCAAAGAACATAAAATTTAGCTTAAACGTTAATATATTTTACAGTGGGATAAAATTTAATATTAATTTATTATGAAAATGTTTACACATTTTTAGAATGATTTTGGTGAAGAATTGTTGTTGTCTTGTCCTAATTCGTGGAAGAATGGTTGCCAGGGCCTCAAGGAGGTCGGACTTACATTCAACCAATTTTGAGGGGGAGCACCATGGGGGGTTCAAAGGTCACTCATCCCTTTCCCCTACCACCAAACCACACAAGAGGACTTTCGGCTCACTATATATTTAGAGTGCCCCTATGCCATAAAGACATTATACATTTACAAACAACCATACCTTTTCCAGGATTTGAACCAGGGTTCTTCAGTATTGCAGCAGACTCCACTAACCACTGTACTGTATGGGTGGCAGCAAAGAATTTGGTGGGGGAAGGAGACCTGCTTTGGAATGAGAATTTTTGGCAACGGCTTATTATTTGTCATGAGAAATATTGTCAGTTACTTGTAGAGTCATTAGGATTTTTGAAGCAGGAGATGTGAAAAAGTGCAATGCCCTTGCCATGACATGAACCTGGACCTCTCGAAACCATTACACTCTCAAATACATGCCTAATATGGTAACCATTACACTATGAAGGCTTGCTGAAAAAAAGGGCGAAAATATATTATATTGTTTTGCGATTGTGCGAAAATACATTACATGTTTATTCATCTTTTAAATGTTGCATGTAAGCAAGCTCTGGATTAAAGGATATGTTCTGGCACTTCAAAGAGAAATATTTCTATTCTTTAATTCAGAAAAACATTGTAAATATGTGAATTATTAATTGGAAAGGGAAAAATTGTCAGTCATTAATTCTACATGGGAAAAAAGACTCCAAATAAATACCCCAAAAAGATATATATATATATTGTTTGTAAATTAAGTTGTTGGTAACAAGGGAAAATCTGCTGCTTGAGAAATCAATTGTAGAATCTTTAAATATCTGTAGCAACAATATTATATCTGTTGCAACAATAAATTAAATGAGAAACCAAGATTTACAAATTAAAAAATCTGATGTGTACACCACATGACTTCCTTGCACGGAATATTAAATTATACGCATTTTTTCTTGCATTTTATTTAAACTTATTAGAGTGAATTAAACCTACTTCGCCGACAGTGCATAAACCACACTAGAATAAATGCATTCTTAAAATTCACTTTGTTTACCATAGCGACACTCTGGGGCTAGGTTTACTTAACAGTATTATATTTCGTTCATATTATAACTCAGAATGCACAAAATTTATATCATTTAAAGAATTATCTAATCGTTGCCACATGTTCTATTCAAATACTATAATAAAACTAGAACTATGTATTAAAGAAATTAAGCAAACAAAACAAAAAAGAAACAGTTTTCACAGACAATTGAGTATTTCTCAATTCAATTTTCACTTCAGGACAAGGCAAAAATACATAAAAACTCAAAATATCTGTATTAAAAATTACGAAGTAAATCTTAAACGCTTATTTCCTCGAAAAAATTTCAGAAAGGATTAAGCATGATTTAAATAATAAATGAAGATGTTATCTTTGTTGTTGCGAAGCTAAGTTTCTCTAGACTGGCAACAAATCCGCTACTCATCTGTTTCAAATGTAAACAAGAGCAAGGGCTGCCATCAAATTAGGCTTAGCAGCATTTAAACAATTTTAAAATTGTTGATAATTCTAAAAGTATTGCATACAGATTTACTAAAGGCATAAAACCCTTAACCGGAAGATAAAAACAACATAATTCAATCATTTTTAAAGCAAAAAATGTACAATTTACAAACATATAAGAGTAAAGAAACTGAGATCACTGAGCCGGGTAACAGAGTGGATATATTTATAAATATATTTATATATGTTTGGCGCGGCCGATTGAAACCAAAATATGAGGTGCACATCTACATGTTATAATAGTCTTATATACAAAATTTCAACGTTCTGAGGCTACTCGTTTTTGAGTTATGCGAGATACGTACGAACGCATGTACGTACATACGCCACAAAAAATTCTCTTCAGAATTCATTTTAAAGCAGTTTTTTAGTTTTTTTTGGAGGAAAAGAGTCTTTTATTCTGTCCTTACGTACAGATATCACGCAAAAACATCGTTAAATTGCATTCGAAAGTGGTCAAAGTGGATATTTTCATTGAAATATGCTGCCTGAAGCTTCCTTTTTACTTCATACAAGGAAGTAAAAAGCTGAAAAACATAGTGTTCAATAGCTTTTGCCGAGGCATGTAGCTTTATGTTGAACAATTTGTAGAACTCTATATGAAAGCGATTTAGAAGGAGATAAATGGAATTAACATTATGACCCTTGATGAAGCATGAATTTTCCTAAATGACTGTAATAAAAAAAGCTGTATTTATTGCAAAATATTACTAAAAAATGTATAAACCTCCTTCTGTCAATGCAAAGAAAAATCAGTATGAAGATTTTATGATAGTTGCACAGTTCCCTTACAGTGGGAAATTAAAAATAAGAAGAGTGGGCAAAATTGTTAAAATTAACCTGACACGCTATCACGAGGAATTTTTATTTCCAATATTTACAGGAGAAATTCCACTTCTTTATTCGAGTGACTTTCAAAGTGTGAAACTTCATCAAGACAAAGCAACAAATTATGCTTTGAAAAGCACCACTGCATTCTTTGTAAAAATTAAAACTGGTACAGCTGTTTTATGTATATCTTTTTAATATATTCCTACAAAGTACCCTGGCATTTCACCTATGGATTATCATGGCTTTGATCTTTCATAAAGAGCTCTTTCTAAGCACAAACTCACCATGAGTAATGTACTCTGGAAAGTAATGGAAGAGGAATGGAAGTCAGCATCCCTGGAATTTTATGAAAAGGTCTTCTATCATGGAAATCATGATGCAGACATATATCCAGAAATAAAGGCTGTCGAATTGAATGTTTAAAAAATACCGTTTTAATTTTAAACATTAGTTAAACGGCTCTGAAAATCATTTTGAAAATGTGTAAATACCCTCTTTATTTGAATAACCCGAATACTTATAAAGTGAATTTTATTCAGTTTTATAGCTCTGTTAAATGAATCGCTGGGCTGTGTGAAAACATCCTGAAAACTTCTGGTTTTTCATATTTTAAGGGTAGCTATGATATATAGATATTTTGAAAGATTTGAAATTTGTATTGTATTCAGAAAATCGGAAATACTATAATAGTACTTGTTTCTTCTAAATAAGAAAAGTGAAATTTGTAGTCAGTTATTGTAATAAAACTCATGACAGTTGAAGTATGGGATATTTAGTCATGTATGCAGTAATAGTTCTAAAAACCTGATATTTTTACAGCAAAAAACATTAGAGAAATTTCAAACAATAGCCTGAATTGAGGATTCAGTGGTAAATCACAAAGGGATTATTTGATCTTTATTAAAAATTAAACAGAGGTCTTAACTTTCCTAAATTGCTATTTGAATATTGAGCTTTTTTCATATAATTCTTCTGCAGTTAGACCTTCTTTTTTTTTTTTTTTTTATATATAGCTTCTTTGTGTTACTTATCAGTGTCAGTTTCATTCCAATTCTGTAAGCATTTATATAAACAGACATATAAAAAATATCAAATCAATTGGGCTGCGTGTGAGTTGATGTAACTAAAGGCTTTGGTGAAATAAAGTTTTCCACTTGGGTTTCTTGCATTCTCTCTTAAGGATTTGTTTTTGCTATCAGAATTGATTATAAAATTTTACAGCAGAAGTTAAATTTTTGGTATTAATAGGGCAGTTTTAATTCTCTTATGCATATGACACATTTTTTAAAATCAGTGGCATTGCAGCTTTATTATGGACAGTTTACAGCTGGGGTAAATATACTATTATTATTATTTCAAAAGAAAAAATTGAATTTAAATACAAATTTAATTAATTCTTTGCACTATTGCTGCAAGGAATGAAACTTAAATTTTAACAAACATGCATATACGTAAAAAAGCAAATTTAAAGTTAAAATCATTAAAAAAATGTGCAAACATGTAAAAGATTTAATTTTCGAACTAATCTACAATATCATTTAAATTCAGATAGCATAAGTAAATCAAGTTCAAAACCAAACCATGAAAAGTTTGTTCACGAATTTAGCAAATTAAAATTAATCTCTCTCTCTTCTTTTTTTTTTTTTTTTTTTTAAATGCATAAGTGAATAACTGTTGAGCAGGCAGGAGACAGACTTATGAAGGGGAGGTTGCCTTCAAACCTAACTCTTCAATCATTCAATTTGTGTTTCGTCATTCATGCATGTTTGTTAAAACTATTATTATTATTGTTATTTTTTAAATTTAAAATAATCATACTTGAGTGTTTTTTTTTTTTTTTTTTTTTTTTTTTTTTTTTTTTATTCAAATTGTTTTGTGTAGGATGCTGAAGTAAATAATCTGTGTAGAAGGCTCCAGTTGAAGGATATTATTGCATCAGGTTTCCAGAGACTTACTAAATATCCCCTTTTACTAGAAAATATTGCAAAATATACTCCACGTAAGTTATAATATATTAAGTTTTCATATTATTGAATGTTTCAGTTGCTTTTATGTATACTAATTAAACTTATTCATTTGTCTGTTTTGTCCATTGAATTAATATATTTTTGAACTAGCGGAAGTACACAATGCCAGTTAAGGAAGTACACAATGCCAGATTGAGAGTAATGTATCTAACAACAGAGCGAATGATATCTTCTCTAATGATGATGCAAAAAATACAATTCACAGTCATGCATTTTTCAGTCTGATACGATATGAAACCCTGGTAAAAAATTTCAATAGAAAAATAAACTAATTCTCCCTCATTATATCAGCAACAATTGCATGCAGTTTTTAATGTTTTTCATCTTTTTAATCAAATGCTCTTCAAAGCTCAAGTTCCATCCAGTATTTCACTTACAGTCTGTATTAGTCGATTAAATGTGGCAAAAAATTGATCATAACTGATCAGAAATCAATAATGTGATTAAACAAACACACAAATAGACATTCTTCTTTATATATATATATAGATTTTGTAAAACTTGAAAATTTTTTATTAACAAACAAACTCTGTATTTTGAAAGTGAGCTGTAGCAACACTTTTCAAAATAAGGCATTTTTATCTCCAACACGCAAGACCAGAAAAATTCAGAAACCATTCAGAAAAATTCATGTTTTTAGAGTTTTTAATTAATATCTCAGCTGATTAAAGTCGTATGAAGATGGGACTAGTTGAAATGGCCTCCCATGAATTTTTGGAAACGAGAGTAATGTATTTAATGTTTGGCAATGCTATTTTTATTTACAAACAAAAGCTCTACGATTTGGAAGCGAGCAGTGGCAACACTTCTTGAAATAAAGCAGCTTTTTATCTCCACTGTATGAAAGAGTTGCCTATTGTAAAAATGAGGGCAAAGTGTTTTCAGAGTTTTTAATTAATATCTTTGATTTTAGCTTTTTTTTTTTTTTTTTTTTTTTGTGTGTGTGTGGTGGACATCAACCTTTCTTCTGACCTAGAAAAGTATTGTAGAAAGTTTGGTGACGATAGCTGAGTTAATCTTTAACAAACAAACACACAGACATTTTTCTTTATATATATATATATAGGTATATAAAACAGAAGTCACCAAAGTAAGACTCTCGTAGGGAAGTGGTGTGACTTTTATGCAAGTAAAATTTTGGTATGAAATATGGTAAACTAAAGCTAATTTATTTCTTCGTACAAAGTTAGTAAGCTTACATTGATCAGTGTCCAAATGCAATTATTTATTTCATTCTGTGTTATTTAATAAATTTAATAGCATTATTCAAAAACATGAAATAGATAAATTTAATGTATTCTGTCAAACAAATTTATAAAGAAAATCTTTAAAAGTTAGATTTGTTTGTTTGCTTTACAGGAAGTGTCTCACAAGTAGCGATAAAAACTTAATTTGAATGGTTCTTAATTTGAATATCTGTTGTCAACAGATATATGGTTTGCTTATTGTGGAATGAGCATGCAGAGGAATTATTAGATAATTTTTGAGGTAGTAGAAAAATTAAGTTTACTCACTGTGGTGCAGATTTAAGAAGAATCCAATGCTTCATGAGCATTGCTAAGCTGTAATAGATCAACATTTAGAAAAAACTGTCATGAAAGAATTGGAGTACTTAGAAACTGAAGAAGGTTACTTTTACTGCATCAATCTGTATTAGACTTACTGCTTCAAGCTGTAATTAGACAAAACAAAAGTGCCGCAAAACTTCATGTCTTTGATGCATCATCACATGCTGAAGGCAAATAGACACTGAATGATTGTTTAGAATCAGACATTACTTTCCATTTGATACTTCTTTCACAACTAGACTTTGGAAAGTTTAGTTGTGGTTCTCTTTAACTTTCCTGAATTTCAGCTTGCAGTTCTTATTTACATGAAGCTTGGCCAACCATGGTATATATTGAATTGAAATAACATACATTTATAAACTAAGTTTTGTAAATTAATATTGTATTATATTATTAATGATGTGCACTTTTTATAAGTTCATTATTGTGGTAAATTTTATTTGCAATTAAAATAACCTCCATAGATTGAGTAATATTAAAACCTGTATTTCAGCCAATACACAAGAGTTGTCAGATCTGCAGCGAGCTGTTGAATGCAGCAAAGAAATTCTTGTTCATGTTGATTCTGCTATCAAGGAAGCTGAAAATATGCACAGATTGCTTGATATTCAGAAGAAGATGGAGAAGAGTTCTTTTGAAAAGGTTGAACATCCAATAGTACATAGTTTTAAGGTAATGCAAGTAATTCCATTTATAATGCTCAATTTCTGCCCTATTTTGAAAGTTTTTTGAAATATTCTTAATTATTTGATAGAATTTTATTTAGAAAAAATAAATGCATCACAGAATTTTCTAATGCATGAATTTTTTGTTTTTTATGATTAAATATGTCAGTTTTGATTTTCATACTTATTAACAAATTTTACTACATTTCAGAAACTAAAACGTCATTTTTCAATGCATTTTTTTAAATTCAAATTTATAATTTAAAAGTATATAGTTTATACTTTGCTATGTATCTGCTCTTAATTTTTATTAATTAATTAATTTATTTTTAAGAACTTGGATGTCACTAAGCATAAACTACTTCATGAAGGACCTCTTACTTGGCGACTTAACAAACAAAAAACTGTGGAAATGCACGTGGTTCTTATGGAAGACATACTTATCCTTTTCCAGAAGCAAGATGAAAAGTATATTTTAAAATTTCATAATACCAATCTAACAAGTGGACGTGAAGATACAAAGATTATGCACAGTCCAATTCTAAGAGTTCACAACCTTTTAATTCGTAACAATGCCACAGGTTTGTTACCTTCTTTTATTTTTAATTCTGATTGGTTAAATATATTTTTATGCTACTAAATTAAGGAGTTTGCTATAGAGAAAGAATGCACCTAATCCATTTGTAAAAAAAGATAAACACAGCATAATAATGAATGAATAAAGAGAAAAAATTTTCTAATTCACTTGTCTCATAGTTAGTACAAAAAATGGCAAAACATCAAATGTCTAGCTGGTTACTAGTTGGTGATATTTTAATCCAGTGAATAAGGTATTCAGTTCATATGCATGATATCTTCAGATAACACTTATTCTTGAGCCAATTCAAGTGTATGTGTGTTAAAAGGAAAGAAATTGTGGACCAACTACATAGCTAAAAAATGTACTTAAAAATGCAGGATGCTTTTTCTGATCACTTGAGGGAACAGTATGATTCTCAAACATATGTAAAGGGGTAAATGATATGATCACCATTCTTAATAATTTTTTTAACTGTTTGATTTGCCAATATTGCCATATTCCAGGTGCTTTGCCAGATGTGTACATAAATAATTTCATAGAGTAAGTTGGTACTCATCTATAAACAACACATGGACCCATTCATGTAGAAAACAATTGTTTTGTTCATTACACTAGATTGAATATGGTGTTGTGTTCAAATATATTAGATGCATTTAAGTAGGTTTTCACGTAGCTTGATGCCATGCAACTGCCAGTAAATTGTTGTTATTTGTTATCCGAAATGCTACCAATAAGTCTAATTCAGTCAGACCTTCATGTGCTACGTTGATAGCAATAGGCAGCAAATACTTGATGTCTTTCATAAGAAAACATTAGTGACTTGCCTTTAATTCCTTAGCCACTTTTGAATCACATCTAAAAATATTAACTTCTTGAGATGCATGTCTCAGATAGTGTCTAGCTTCAAATTTCCGAATTGAGCTGTTGTATGTAACATCTTTATGATATATTTTTTCTCTATATTTGTCTTTTAAGATAAACAATAACACTTTCATACAAGGAATTAATAGCTTTATCTAATGTCAAGATTTCAAGTAATGTCTTTAAATTGATTTTAAACAATTTAAATCTAATTGATTGTTAACTTTTATTTTTTCCTCATTAGTTCTAGGTAAGACTTATGTTTAACTTCATGTTCATTTATTTACAGTTGTAGAAAATATGCATCCTGGATCCTTAACTTATTCTTATGATCCATGGTGGATTCTTAACATATTCTTATGATTATATTTTGGATATTTCAGATTAAAGAGCTAAAAAGTTTTAGGTATTGATTTGTTTTAAATTTGCAGTTCAATTGCAGATATTTGACTTTCCAATTAATTTACTTGTAGTATGTAATAATTTCATTTAATTAGAAATTTCTGAAACCTATATTTAAATTGCTCATGATTGTAACTTTTCAAAATATTAGAAATGCCAAGGAGGGAAGTTTTTGTTATTGTGAATAATGTAATGTGTTTCATGATACTGTTCTTTTTTTGTTATGAACTGCGTTTTTCTCTTTCCCAGATAAAAGAAGTATCTTTTTAATTTCATCTTCTGAAATGCATGCCATGTATGAATTTGTAGCAGCTACAGCATCGGAGAAGAAAATGTAAGACTTAAAAATTTCACTATGTCATTTATTTCTTCAAATTATGCAAAACGAGTATTTAAGTTTTACTACACTGTCTTCCAAAAGTTAAGCAGGCAATGGAAATTAGCAATTTCTGAAAATGTAATTGAATTTGATGGCTGAAAATCCCTGCAGATGCAGATGGCTGTATGCAAATATCATTACAGCTAGTAATGATTGACTGTCTGAATACATGTTAATTAGGCAGTAATTGAAGGTGCCAGCATTCTGAAGTGTTTGAGGAGGTTCATTTAAATGCTGATATGGAGTGTGTATTATTTTCATTCAATAATTTTTTATGATATATCCTTGTTTCTATAAATGAAAGAAGACGAATGGCCAATAATGAGCACTGATGTGCTGTCAGATGCATCAGAGCAGGATAGTCAGTCACAGATCATGCTCTTTTCTTTGCCTTTGATCATTGGGTAATTTATTGAATATGGAAACAATTCTAAACAAGTCAAATGGTTGTTTTTAGGCTTGTGTTATGCCAACCAAGGGTTACCACGCCCTTCTGAAGATTCGGTGTATTGGTGTAGTAGTCAAGCTGAATTGACAAATGATTGCATCTGTTACATTCATGGTTGCAGCATCACTTGATAAGATAGTACCTGCAAATATTGAACATGCCTGAAAGCTTCCCTTGCAGGTCCAAGTACCACATTTTTAGGCTCTTCAAACCACTCAGCTCGGGAGTAAGATTAAAGTGATATCGTCAACATCTTAATTAGACTGCCTCACATTGGTGCAATGACCTGTTCACAGTCCAGATTTGCCCTATAATAAGATGATAAGCATGTAAGTGTTTGGAGAGAGTAAGATATGTGGAATCATACCCAGAACATTATTGTTGAACATCATCAAATGTGTCACATCCGGATGTAGGCTGGAATTTCAATGGGATAATGCTCTCAGCTGTACACACCTTTAAAGATGCCTAATGAGGTCTATGCTGTGTTAGGATAAAATCTTGCACCCCACTGTAAGATGCTCGGAACCAATATCAATTCAGACTTCTTTGAGCCATTATCATAAACGAGTATCTGAAGAATGAGGACATTTTTCATATAGAGTGGCTGCCATATTTCTGTGACCATAATCCCTCTGAAAATCTTTGGGCAGCTGCCCCTACCCATTTACCCCCTCCAGTCACATTCAGGCAGTTGGGAATTGGCATAATGGAGGAGTGGCCATTGCTAGCATCTGTGTCAGTTGATCACCTCATTGGAAGCATGGGCAGCTGCTATAAAGTATGTGTGAAGGTCTGAACTGGCCTTATACTTTATTAATGTAAGTTTTGTTTGTTTGTTTTTAACTTTAAACATCAATTTGTTAATGACTCAGATGTGATGTTATTTTATAATTTATGAAAATCAAATATTGTTTTCATTTTTGTTCATAAATGTATATTTTTTTTCATGCATAAAGACATTTGCTACCTTCATCTGCAATTTGGGTTAATCAGAGCTTAACTTTTCCATTTTTGTTGTTTTCGCTATCACATGCTTAACTTTTGGAAGGAAGATGTACATCAATAATTGGTTAATCTATTATATATAGTATGTGATATGTTATATCAAACATATTTATTTCATTTTATGCAGTTTAGCATTTACTGTTTTTATTATTTACATTTCCGTATCCAAATGCCAGTATTTGCCCAACAGTTTATTGTTTGATACTGCGTTAAAATCCTTTTGTGCTTAAAAAGTTTTGGTCAAGTTTGAGTTGAGGTGTTGGGCAATTGAGATGCTAATGTGCAGAAATAGAGTCAGTGTTTATGTGATGTCAGTTTGGAAAATTTGAAGTGTTTATAATGAATCTTTCATTTGTTTAGTTTAATTAGTTTAAGTTAGATTTCCTGTGATATGTATTTAAAAAAAATATTGTGAAGTTTTTTAGCATTATTTGTTTTGTAACACATGAGTTATTAAAAAGCTTTTTTACTACCTTCTCTTGAAATAAAGATATCTTCCAATCTTTCAGATAGTAATTTTTGTATCTCCTAAATAGTCTTTTAAACAATAATTCATGCGAGTTTTGTTCTTGCATGTGAAATCAGTTGAAACCAATGACTGATTTCATATTCCTTGAATTAATAAATGAAGTTTGATGAACTTCTTTTCTTTGTCTTGACATACAACAATTATTTAAAAATATTAGTTTGTCAAACAGATGGTAACAGAACACAGTAACGAAATTGCTAGTGATCTATGATGTTAGAAAAAAAAAAAAAAAAAAACTACAGACAGTGCTGATTCTAGACTGTCAGCCGCCCATGTGCAAATTAAAGTTGGCCACCCTTTTTAACATACCTTATGCTTTAAATTTTTGAATTCCTATGAAACACTTGAAAAAATCATCTAAATATGGGTATGGAATGAATGAAAATCAAAGAGAGAAACATGTTAAAATAAATGTTTTATTGTCAGAAAAATGCAATCTACAACTACAATGTAATAATAAGATGTAGTAATACCTATTAACACGTTGAGCGCGGCGCCGAATTTGCTGTCCTTTCCATTCAGCCGGCAGTGAGCTAAGCCGTATGTTTGTTTAAAATGTTTCAATACATTTCATTAAAACTAAATTTGATCACATTTCATTGAGACTATGTTTATTTTTTAACTTTAATACTATCAGTCTTGCGGACTGACACCAGCCAAACGAAAATTCCAGTGCCGGTCCCCAGGGACCGACGACGGCCACACGGAAAGTTCACTGCCGGTCCCGTGGGACTGGCGCCGTGCTCAACGTGTTAATATGAGTAAATAACAAGGGAGTCAAATAACCATTTTCATTTTTTGTCAATTAAGCATATTTCTATATCCTAAAAATAATTTCAAAATCTTCACTGAAGACAAAGAAAGTAAACCGGATAACTAAATGTTTTCTTATCTTTCAGAAAATTATAACAAGATTTTTCGAGCATTCTTAGAGGCAAATTAATCTAAAATATTTGAAATGTCTACCGCTAATGAAATATCACTTTCAGTAGAAAAAATAGCCAAATTATGTGAAATTGTTGATTGATATTAAATAATTTTTAATCAAATTTAATTTTAGAAATGCCTTTCACCTGAAGTAACACTGATTGGTATAGTAACAAAAATTCTAAGTGCAATAGATAAATAAGGGAAATATGGTGTTAAATCCTGACTTAATATATGATTCAGAATCTTTAACCGGCAAATGCTTGAAATAGATCTCAAAAAGATAATAGTTCATTAGGGCAGTTCATGTATTGTCTAAGTCCCTTTCTATTTTTCCATCCTTATTTATGCAACTTTTTTTTCCCTTCAAATTATCGCTATCTTTAGAATGAAACATTAGTAAAAAACTGGATACTAAGAAACAGCTTTCCAACAAATCAAAATGTTCTCCTACTGAATTGACAGCAGTATTTAAAATTTGAAAGTAAAAATGGACTTTAAAATTTAGTCTAGGTTCTATAACATACATATTCATCATGTGACTCATAGTGAAACATATGAGGTTTTTTGTGCTAAAATAGATGATTAATTGATAAATATGGCAATGCTTTTGCCATTTCTTTTCAAAATTAAACATTTCTTAATGTTTCGACACATTGTGCTAAATCTATATTGGACTGCCGCAACATTTTTGAAACAATATTTACTCTTTCTAGCATTTCTTCGAGTTATTCTAACTTAATTAACTGATTTTTGAAGGCCAGTTGAAAATGGCATAAAAAATTGCAAATTTTGAAGTTAAATATCCTGTGTAATTTTTGTCATACGGAAGTCAAACTTCTTATTTTTTTATTTTTTCATAACAAGTGTAAAACTTTCTCCAATATACTGGGAGACCACATTAAAAGTTAGGTCTATTTGTCAAAAAATAATTTTTTTTTAATGTCAAATTCCCAAAACATGAATATTTTTGCCATGTAAGACACTTCTGTTACTGGAAGTTTATGAATATGGCCACCAGCAATTTGAAAACAAAGGCTGGGCATATGCATACATGCAGTAAAAAAGGGTTAGATTCACAGCTAGATGTTACAGCAGCCGTATGTACAAAATTTCAGTAATCTACAGCTAATAGTTTTTGAGTTAAGTGAAATACATACATGTGTGCATATATACGCACAGATTTCACGAAAAAGTCCCTTTTGAGTCCATTTTTCAATCAGTTTTGTAAAAAAGGGTCTATTGTGTATATATGTACAGATGACATGGGGGGGGGAATCGGCCAAATAAATTCAGGAATAGTCAAAATGAATATTTCCATTGAAGTATGATAGCCAGATATTTTTGCAATTACAATACACCCTTTACTTAAAGAAATCGTTTTACTTACAAGGAAGTAAAAAGGGAAATATAGAAATTATTGACTCAACTGCCAGATGTAAATAAAGGAAAAATTTAAAGCTGCAGTTGATTCCTAATCAAATTACTCAGTGATATGCAGAAGATAATGTATATTTCCATTACAGAAAATGTCATTCTTTTTCTTTGGAATAATTTAAATGTACAATTGATTCCAAATCAAACTACTCAGTAATATGCAGAAGAAAATGTATATTTCCATTATAAAAAAAATATTATTGTTTCCCCATATCCCAACAAAGCACATAGCTTTGTTTTGAAAAATGTTAAAGTTATCAAGTAATGGTTTTATTTTACCAAATTAAATGCATTTATAAAGTGTTTACAAGAATTAATTCTGTTACATTTTTATTTAAAGTTGCATTATGAAATTTCTCCAATTTTTCTTATAGATATTTTTAGTCTTTTTAGATTTATCAATCTCCATCTCATTTTTTTTAATATGTCTGAAATTTTTTTCCATGCATTTCATGAACTTATTTTCTTTAATTTGCAAGCACTCATGGCTTCATAAAGGGGGGGCAACTTGCAAATGTTAGAACTACAGAAATGTTGCATACTGTCATATTTTCTTGTAATTTTTATTTTCTCCCCCTCCTTCATGTTTCATCAAAAATATCAGAATTCTTAAAATTTCTTTTGTGGAAAAAATAACTAAAAAATGTAGAATTAATGTTTCAGAAAATGATAAAAACTGTCCTCTGTGGAAGTGTTAAAATTTTAAATGAAAGTGAACGTTAAAAATTTGCATAAAAGTGTAATGCTTAAGTGAGTGTAATGCTTGAGTGTAAACTGTCAAGCATTTAAATGACTGATGTTTAGTTCAAATATGACTTTTACTATACATTTTTCATATTGCATATTTTTAAAATTTATTTATTTATTTATTTATATATATATATAACCAAACACCTTTAAATCAGAAGAGGGAAATTGTACAGTTTTTGAAAGAATGGGAATTTACAAGATAGTTAGTTACTATGTTAAGTACCTTGTATTCTATGTTTTATGGTGTTACATAATTTAACATTCACAATCTCTTTTGGAAGCATTTGTGTTTCTTCTTCAGTCAGCCCTCTTTTTCTTCTCAGCATTTTCCTGTAAAATGAAGAAAAATAATTCCCAAGAAATCTCGCAAAAATATGGAATATTCCAAAGAAATGCAAAGTTTGGTTTAAGATGGAACAATTGAAGTTGTTCCAAATTCTGAAGCCACAGAAATGAAAAGAGAATAATAGAGAAAATTGCATCCTTAACACAATGTCCTTTGAAAGTGATGAGACTTAAGGGACATCAAACTTGACAGTTTACCTTGTCTTTTCAGCATGGAAAGTTGGGGAAGAAAGGTATGACCACTTAAATGGACATCCCCATCCTTTTAGTCAGAGAATATTAAGGCCAATATAATGGCCATTCCATCCCAAAAAGGTTAAAAAAAACTCAGCCCACCTGCAAGTTGTGTTTGAGACCATTGGTAGTAGATATGTATAATAGTTTTATATCATATGTAGTGTACTGCTGGGATTAATATTTTTTATAAACATAAATTATAAATATCAGGTAAATGATTTTAATAGATCTGTTAGTCATTCATAAGGTCATTTTTACTAGAGTATTTATTTAAAAAAAAATCCTTAAATGTTGTGGAGCCTTTACAAAAATGAAGTGTGATTTTAATTCTGCTTTCCTCTTTGTTCATATGTGTAGGCTTTTCATTTTGATAAACCTTGAAGTATGACTTGTTTGAAATTTTGTAAATTTTAGATTTACATTACATGATAATGTATGCATTTTGATTAACCTTGAATTATGACTTGTTTGCAAATTTGTGGCTTGAAACTGCTAATATAATTTTAGTATTCAGTGTAATTAGCACAATGACAAAAATAGATAGTTATTTTTGTTGTAGATTTTATGTTCTGTTTCTGATATTTTATTATTTTCTTTTCATTAGTTGGTGTCAGCATTTAACAAAGGCTGTAGAACAGCAAACCCAAAGTGGTAATCTACTTAAAAATAATCAAGAGCCTGCATCTGTGGTCTCAGATACAGTAGTAGCGTCTTCTGATGAGCAGCAAGATGACACTGATGTTGAATCAAAAGAGTAATTTTATTTTACTTATGTTTTGTGTATTTATTCTATTAATTTAATAATAATACAAATTCTAAAAATATTGAGTTATAATATAAATGAGAATGAACGAATTTTCCTTAAATACAAGATGTATTTATACCAGGATTAGAAACTAGGAGGAGGAGTAGGGTGCACCCAGGCAGCTCAAAATCACAGACAGATTCTAAGCTGCAGTAAGCTTTATGTTCACCACTGAGTGCATACTTTCATCATAAGTAGTATTATTTCTGTAATCAGAAATTATAACATTGAGTGTTATTATTTCCACATGATTCGTACATATATCTATAGTTATGTAAGAGGATTTAGTACGAGTGACAATTAGAGAGATTGTTTATGTTTTATTAAGCACTGTTTTGCTGTATTTATTATTGCTGTTATAAACTTTCAAAATCCTGGAGAGAATTATGGATCCCTTTGTATTATCATAAAATATATTCCATTGTTGCTGAAATATGACCAGCATAAAAGAAGAATTATGTGTAAAAAGGTAGGTGTTGAACTTTTAAATATTTACAGAGTTGAAAGCTCTTCAGATATGCAGCAAGATTCAAAAGAAGTTGGACCAGATGCTGTGAAACCAGACAGTTCTGCTGATGTTGCCCAAACAAATATTGAGCCTGAATCCTCTGCTTCTGCAACAGATCTGGATGATATCCCACAAAAAGCAAAACAAATTGGTGTAGATGATGAAACCAGTGATTCGGAAAGAGAACCGAAATCTCCAAAACGGTTTCAACGTGTTGATATTCTACAAGTTACTGAAGGACCACAACTTATTGAACCAAGTGAAGTTATAGTCAGCAGCGGTGCAATTTGTGAAACTGCAGAACCTGTTTTCACACCTATTGGTAAATATATTTTAATATCGGAAATTCGCTTCTCTTGTTTCCAATACATATTGTAGCCAATGCACTTATATCTTAGTTGTGAATTTTTGGAGAGATTTCTAGTTTCTACTGCCAAAATATTTTCCATTTCTTTCTGTTTTTCCTTTTAAAAAACATATCTGTTATTATGGCAGTTATTTTATTGAAATAAGCATAGTAAATATTTTAAATATATTAATATTTTATAATAAATATTTAATATTATTGTGTAAAATAATGTCTCTTGGAGAATAAAGCTGTGATTCTACTTAGATAACTGGACAGTACAATTTTTCACTTACAAGTGTAAATTAGGTGTACTGTAATTTGCAGAAAAACTACCTTTTCGTAATTTTATATGCATTCCTATTATGATAAAAGTACCACCATATGTATCGGAAACAGAATTTTTTTTGAGTAAAAATTGACTCAAGAAACTGCCATCTAAATGTTTGGTAATAAAAAGAACCAAGTGAATTAATTAATATCAAATAATAATAGTATATTTCAAGGTGTAAATAAACAAGTATTACACCTTGAAATATACTGAAAATCACACATTAAAATTCACAAATAATGCAGCAAAACATAAATTTCCAAGTTATGTAATCATTTTATTTAAATCTCTCATTTTATGTATGTATATTTAAACATAATTGTTTTACTTTTTTACTTCCTTGTATGAAGTAAAGGAAGTATTGTAATCACGAAAAATTCTGGGTACCATATTTCAACAAAAATATCCATTTTGACCACTGTTGAATGCAGTTTAATGATGTTTTTGCATTATATCAGTACATTAAGGACAGAGTAAAGGACTCATTTTGCCCAAACAAATTATAAAACAGATTTAAAATGGAGCCAGAAGAGATTTTTTTCATGGCGCCTGTATGTATGTGTCTCGCATAACTAAAAAATAAATAGCCCCAGAACGTTGAAATTTTGTATATGGGGCTACTATATAACACGTAGATGTGCACCTTCCTATTTGGTTGCAGTTGGTCGCAACAAAAGTATGTAAATATCTATACATATATACCCACTCTGTTACTCGGCTCCATGAGCTCAGATTTTTAATTCTTATATGTTAGTAAATTGTGCATTTTATGCTTTAAAAATTATTGAATTATGTTTTTTTTTTTCCTTCTTCTTCTTTTTTTTTTTTTTTTTTTTAAATCTTCCAGTTAAGATTTTTATGCCTTTAGTTAACCTGCATGAACAATTTAAAAGTGTTTTAAGTGCGAGTAAGCCTATTTTTTTAACCACAGCAGCCATATTCGTTTACATTTGAAACTTAGCAGAATAGTGGATTTGTTGCCATTCTAGAGAAACTAAGCTTCACAACAACAAAGATAACGTCTTTTATTATTTTGAATTAAATCATGCTAAATGCATTGTGGAATTGTTATTTGACCTTTTTGCGACGGCACACCTTTGTTTAAGACGCTCGTGCGGGATGGAAGGGAATCGAAGGCAGTCACCATACAGGATGGAGGATTTGCATTGCTAAGCCTAATTTTAATTTAAAAAAAAAAAAAAAAAACTTTCACTTCTAGCATCGTAAATTTTGATATCGTTTTAGATTGAGCTCTTATGTATGTTAAAATTAGCACTTGATAACGTTTTGTTCTTTATTTTACATGAAAATATACTTAAAAATTTCCTCATCTTGTAAAATAATTTTCGGAAGCGCTATTCAAATTATTCCAAAGTTTTAATTGATAAAATTAATCAATAAAGTTTAAAATTAATAAAACAACACAATAAAGACTATTTACAGTAAGAAGTAACAAAATTTAAAATGAAGACTGAGTATGGTAAATCTCGAAGCACAGAGAAGTATCACTTTCTAACTCATAGGAAAAGTATCATTTTCTAACGCTTTAGAAAAAGAATCATCATTCTCATCTATGTTAGTAAATGGTTCATTAATCATACGAGGATATTCTTCCTCTGATAAATTGTGCCTTCCTGCCATAATAGACTGGAGGTGGGGCTTTCCGAAATAAAAAGAGAAGAAACGGAAATATATCTGAAGGCAATGCAAAACATAACAGAACTCCACATATTAACCCTAAAAGACCGTATATAGTAGAGGAAAAAAATAGAATAAAAAAAGGAATTGAATATAAATCAGACAGGCGAGTATTTATATTAGCAATTAAAAGATCCCACCTCTGTTTACACTCCCCCCCCCACTCTTGCAACAATTGATGAGTAAAATACCAAAGTCAGACAGAATATATCAAACTCAAGGTCAGGAACCTAAAACGTTTCAAAAGTAATGGACATAGAATGCCATCTAGTGGGCCTTCAGAAAAATGTTCCAGCTTAAAATGCGTGTACGCATCACCCGTCCTCTGAATGCAATCTCTGGTGATGCATGGATGGGACGCCCGGCTGTAAGAGACATTCTTTGGGAATGCATATGTGGGATGCTGTCCTGAAAGTGTTAAGGTATTAAATTATCCCATATATTGATTCAGCATACCATCCACAATAAATTCAGTTTCTAGCCTTCAGTGTCTTTTTGCCGAGTGGGATCAAAAGGAAACTTTTAGTTTTGTACATTGAAAAATCTGCTTTTTTGCCTCCTGGCTGAATTGCTCAGTTTTGCACAGAAACTAATTGTGAAAATTGTTTTTTAATTGTTTTAACTGTATTTCGTGTTTTATGTTTTTCTATATTTTTCAATTTTTAATGAAGATATTTCGAGTTTTATATGTTTTTGCCTTGCCACAAAGTAAGAACTAAATTAATTGAATGAGAAATATATCTCTAACGGATTTTAGTGTGTTAGAAAGTGTTTCTTATTAGCAGCAAATATTGTTGCCAGTGCAACTTGAACAAAGAATGTTTTCGAGTAGCACATGCGCATTAGATAAGTGGCACTGAAAAACCATTTCTTTTTTTTATTTAACTTCTTTTATACATCATTTTAGATTTATTATAGTATTTGAATAGAGCACGTGGCAACGATTAGATAATTCTTCAGGTGATATAATTTTTATGCATGGTGAGTTATAAAATGAATGGGATGCAATGCTAACCTAGCCCCAGAGTGTCATTATGGTAAATAAATATAGTGAATTTTTAATAGTGCATTTATTCTTTTGTGGTTTATGTGCTGTCAATGAAGTAGGATTCAATAAGTTTAAATGAAATGCAGGAAAAAATATTCCATACAAGGAAGTGGTGGTGTACACATCAGATTTTTTTTTAACTAAGCACAAACTCCCGAAAAAGAAGAGGAATTGGTATTTGCAGAAAAGGACTTTTGCTGAGGAGGAAAGATTTCGGTTTTCAGGTTTGAACAAAAATATCTGTTTTAAGGATTCTTGAATCCATTTTGCTTATTTTTATTTTATTTAATATTATTTATTTATTTATTTTGCAAGACGTTGTATGTATGGGCGGAATAAAGGACTGTTTATTCCAAAATGGATTGATTTTAAAGTAGATTGATAGATAAAAAATTGATTTCTTTATGATGTCTTGAATGTACATCCATAATGTGTCTTGCATAATACAAGAAGAAGGATTAGCTTTAGAACATTGAAATTTTATATATCAAGACTGGTATAACATACATAATGTATCTTGCATAATACAAGAAGAAGGATTAGCTTTAGAACATTGAAATTTTATATATCAAGACTGGTATAACATACATAATGTATCTTGCATAATACAAGAAGAAGGATTAGCTTCAGAACATTGAAATTTTATATATCAAGACTGGTATAACATACAGTTGTGCATCTGCCTTTTTCATTGCAATCGGCAGTACCAAGGTTATATCTATATTCATATCTATCTATCTATATACATATACATAAACTGATGCAGACTTAGATGTAATAATGGGAAAGTTGATGTAGATTTTTAATGAATAGCAAAGTTGGCAGCTGAGGTAGTTTAAGTAATGCTTTTTATTTCAACTGACATTTGTGGTCACAATTCACTTGTCACTCAATCATTCCCATTTCAGAACGTTGATATTGTTGTCATAGAAGGCAGTCTGGCAGCATTGTGTCAAGAACAGAAGTAGAAGCAAAGTGTATAGTTATCCAGTATGGCCACTTGTTATGAGAAAAGTTGGTTTTGGTTTAGGAAATTTGAAGTTCTCAGTTAGCTATCTCATTATCGTTATGTTATGGATTAATCTCAAAGTCATATGATATGGATTAATCTCAAAATTATGCTGTTCAGAAAAGTTATTACTGTTTTAGAATAGAGAGGTGAAGTAACTAAATTAAAATGAGAATTTAAAAGGCTGTCACAAAATTTAAATAAGTAATTTGCTTTTATATTTTTTGTCTTATTTATGTACCCACCCCCCCTTACTCGGCTTAAAAATCCCTCATCCGGCCTTTATTTTCATAATTGTTTGTCATAGTCATATACTTCCAATTACAGAAGTGTTTTAAATGCTGAAAATATTCATTATTTTATTATAATCATATTTATAAAATCAATTTTTAAAAACATTAATTTTGGAGAATTAATGAAATCTTAACTTGCACTGTGATCTCCCTGTTTCTATACTTAAATTTGTAGAAGTTTTATACTTGTTATGACAGAATAAAAATACAAGAAGTTTGACTGTTATATGACAAAAAATGACTCTGATATTTAGTATCAAAATTTGCAGTCTTTGATGTCATTTTCAGCTTGCCTTGAGGGAAGGGTTAATTGAGTTAAAATAATTTGAGAAAATAAGTTTAAATAAAGTGCAGCGAAAATGTTTATAATTTAATAGGCCATACAAGGATATGGTTTCCAGATCAGACTTTTGTGTTTACTTTGTGTTTAACTTAACAGACTTAACATTTGTTATGTTAAGCAAAACTTGTAGCTTAAACGAGCAAACTTTAATTGATGTGAATTTTTTAATTGGAATTTGTACTTACAACCATTGTAATTTATAGTTTATATAATAGGAACAAACTGTTTGAGAGACTTGCACTCATCAGAAGTGT